ACATCCGAACTCTCCATCCCAACGGCACGCCGCCCACAAACACGCGGGTTCACAAACCATGAATCACCTCACACGCCACTGGTATAACTGTACTGTTCGCTTAAACTGTCTATTGTTATCCTTATTTCTCACTTCCTTTTATTTCGTCTGATGAAGAGCACGTATCCCGAGCTTGAAAATCCACAAGTTCGTCTTGATTTTTTCCGAAGAACCTCTTCTTTTCTTCTTTATATCGTTCGGAATGCATACCTCCTCTGACTCGTTGCATGGGTTAAATAACAAATAAAAGCATGCATCAGTTTTAATATTCACCGAATGTCAACATATAACAACAAGGAGCATAGTTCAGTATAAGTTATGATCAGATCAAGGACACTACATTATATCAGTCTATAGGAAGAAAAAGGGGGAAGGGAAGTTAACGCAAACCACAGTGTTGATTAGAACTCTACTCTACTGTCCCTTGTAAATGCATAATGATGGATAATAGAAGAGCTGAATTAGTCAAATATGCGTTCAAGATGAAGGCTTTGTGTCCGCCAACTCCCTTGCAGGCAATTATATTGTCTTACTATCAAAACGACTGGAGGTTAGTCATTCATTTACTTTGCGGTTTTAACATACAAGAACTGCTTTGCCCAGTTTTTCTGCATTATAGATCAGTTTGGTATACTAGCAACAGAGTAGCTCTCAACAAAACGCCAGACTTTGATCATTACCCCTGGCTTAACGACCATATCCAGCCAACAATGCTCTAAATATCTTCCTGCAGGCTTGAAAGAAGCAATTCCATATGAATAATAGCGCGAAGTCGTTTGCCTATCTGGTTACGGTAGATGAACTTCTTTCATCGTGGTGGTCCACGAATTTACTGAGTGTATTTGGAGCCAACTGTATTAATACCGGTACTATGGAAGAATAAAATTCAAATTCCATTTGCTGCTTATTTGAAAAAAGATTTAAGATCAAACGTATTTTTTCGGTCATTAATCATCCGGCCGATACAGTGGTCTAGTAAATTAAATTGTAGGTTATGTACGGTTCTTATATGACACCCTCCAATGAACGCTCAGCGATCGCTATTGGAATTCACGCGTCCTGCTAAGCTTTGGGTATCACGACTTTGGTCACAAATTACTATTCCAATCTCCCTTGTTTATGCCGCCAATATTATATGCTTAGACTACGCACCGCTGTGCGGCTGCTGTCAGTGGTGCAGAAATGAGACCCTAAGCAGAACAGGATTAGTGAGTTCCGTTAGTGGTCGGGTGAAAGTTCATCAACGAGTGTCTATATTTCCCGACCTAAATCAGCGAGACAACAAACTCTTCGCTCGATGGTTAGAACAGTTAACTTATGAGTAAATAGGTTGCGAGTTTGGGCCTTGGGTGGTGCATCACTTGGGACTGGGTGTGAGACTGGCTGACAATGTCTTATAAGCCACGAATCGCCATTCTATCTTCCCTTGTATTTGTAGGCAATACTTTCCGCTTAGACTACTTAATTCTACGGATGCTGTTTAGAGCCCGAGAAAGGAGGCCGAGACAACTGAGTTCCCTTAGCGCTCGGTGAAAACGGTATACCAATAACAGTAAACATCTTGTTGTTGTATGGTTGTTGAGTGGACGGGAATCGTTAGTCATCTCCCTTTCCCACGCCACCCGCCCGACGGAGTCGGAGAGCTGAGGACGCTGGAATTCAGAGTGGAAGTGGGGGGGAAGGGTAGGGGAGATACTCGGCGTAGACTGTGAGCGATGTCTGCCCGTAGAAGATGTGGCGTGTGTGTGTGACCGCTATCAGGATGGTTGGGACGGCGAGCGATTACCACCTGTAACAGGCCAAGGAAGGCAGATCGCCTGTAGCCTTTAACAACAGAGCACTGGGTTTGATATCCGAGTCACCACTGTTACTGTTGCTAGAACACATTTGGTTAGTTGTTTACTGAGGTGTACTGGTGTCCGGTAGAGGACCTGAAAGGCCTTTTTGGCGTCAACTTTGTGTTTTGTATCGATAAAATGTACGAAAATTGAGCCTTAAATCGATCGATTTTCCCTTTTGGCTAGTCAGGCAGGTATTTCTTAGCATACCTTTTTAGCCCAACACCTTGTTCTTCAGCCAATGTATTTCGCTCCACAGTAGCAGGTGAATGAGTAAGTACGCATCAATTTGACATGCAAAGGCCTTTCGTGGTGTAGCCATAGGCAGGTTTCCTTTAGTGTAGATTATTATCATCAATTCCGTCGAAAATACACGCCGCATTGTTGAGATTCTGGCATACATCTCGTTTTTTCTACCGTTAATTGATGAGCAACAAGAATGCTATCCTTATAATAATGCACCCGATTCTCATATCCTTTATTGAAAAAAGAGCTCTTTGCCGTCAGAGTTGCTTGTGAGTTCACGGAAAGAAGCACTTTAACTTAATATTTTCCAAATTAGGCGTAAAGAGGTCAAAATGTTTTCCTGTTGATACAGTTTCTAAAGTGGGGCTGATCGAACTAACGCAAAAATGCGTTGTCCTTTGATTAATTTATTAATTTAGTTTTGAGAATTAGCCCTAAATGCAAGCTGATTAGTGCTAACGTATTTCTGAAGCGATTCATGCGCTCCTTTTTTCACATCTAAATTGTTTACATTCGCAAAAAAGCACACGAAAGTTTTCTATTTATAACAGTAACGCCTTTCATCAATTCATGGCCGCCTTTGTGTAAGTTAATACGCTTGTGGTGTGTTAAAATTGAAGTTTGTCACTCGAAGTGTGTCTCGGCAAAACAACCTCAATAACCGTTTTCATGAAATCAGCCTCAATGAGAACCTCAGGTTAATAGAAAAAATTAACACGTATTCTCATCTTAGTCTTGAAAAGCCAGTTCTGCAAACAAGCAGCCACTCATCATCAGACACAAGCAATGGCATAGATAAAGAAAATAGGAGATGTCGACCGAGGTTATAAATGTCTTATGGTTAAAAGTCTTCGTTATCACACAGTCCATATGCCAAGAACGGTGAGCGTGAGTTATGGGGAAGGGAGGAGGACAGAAAGCACGGGCTGGCTGTGAACAATGTTCAGAAGTCGTGTATGAGGACTACATACTTACTCACATGTGCGTCAAGTAAACACCCGTCACCAGGGGATGGGGGTGATAGGTCATCATCTCATCTCATATCATCAGCCCCTAAAGTAGGCGTCGGCCACGGAAGAAGGGTCGCCTGTAGTAGAGTGCTCTGGCAGCACCGCACTGGATGCCCTAGCCGAATAATTACTGCATCGGCTATTGCAAGCACTCATTGGCGCAGAAGCTTAGAAAAGTTGGTGGGTGCGCGGTAGACGACCTGAAATAATAGATCCTCAAATCGACCAACTTTCGACTTTTCTCAGCCAGG